AGGAATGCCTGGGCTGCCTACTCACACAACCTCCTTGCCCTCTGCCTGCCCAGGATCCACAGTAATCCACTTCCCAACCTGATTTTTTTTCCCTATTTTTGCCTGTTTTCCTCCCAAACAGCATGCAATGTCTCCTTTGGAGCAAGCTACCCTGGAGAAGTCCAAAAGAGGGAAAGGGGCATTTCTGTCTGAATGACAGGAGCTGTCTGCTTTAGGGCGATTCCTGTCCAGTAAGCTCCCAGTAATTACAGTGGGACTGTACAGGTTGAGCTGAGGTTCCGTGCATCCCTCCCCCACTGCTTTAATTTTGTCGAGCTGCTTCCCTCACCAGTAAACACCCAGCAGATCCTCACGCTGACAGAACGGAGCCCTCTCCCCCTGAAACCCCCCCGGGGTTTCAGAGCTGGCAGGGAGAGGCAGGCGCTGCTCACCCGTCCTGCCCAAAAAAAATCCCTGCCGGTCTGTAGCCCCACGTAGTCAAGCTGCCTTTTTCTTCGCTTCCAGCTCTACTGGCACCTCCGTGTCCTCCTGCTGTGGTGGCCAGGGCCACTGCCAGAGGCTGCTGGGGGACTTGTCCCACTCTGCCCTGAAGCTGTCGCCGTCCCCGGGTGGAGGAAGAACTGCCTGCTCTCTGCTTGGTGCGGGTAGGGGACAGCTGAAATCCTGTTCCTGTCCAGATTCAGCTCCCCTGAGGCTACGGGAATGGGAAATGGGTGAGAAACTCCACGATTTGCAGAGAGGTGGCCCTTGACCTGCCTCCTCGCTGGGCTTCCCACCAGCAGCACCACGGAGCCATCCGCAACAACTGCCTCTCGCTGCCCCGTTCCCCCTCCTCTTCCAATCCCAACCAGAGGCTCAGTCCTTGGCACAGCCCGGCATCGCCCCTGAAGCCTGGGGCTTCAGTCCCTCACACCAGCCCAAGGGTCACTTCGCTCAAGCTCGTATCTCGGTGAGAGTTTAACAGACGAGGGGACATCCTGGCAGTTCATTCAACCCCCCAGGGCTCTGATGAGCTGAGGGCTTGCTGGGATTCCCGAACAACGTTCCACCTCCCCACGGGAGCGTATCACCACCAAAGCGCTTGCCCAAGGTCACGAGATAGCTCAGGGAAGAGCAGAAACCCAAACCTCCGTGCTCCAGCCCTGCGGTCTCATGCCTAAACCTCACCCACTCCCCCTCCTCGCTCATGAATGCTGAGGAAAATGTGCAGCTTCCTCCCAGAATGTCTTGGCCAACAAGCCAGACCCAGTTCCCACCTCCAGTTCGCAGCACTGGAAGCACCAGGGGAACATCAGAAGGCTTTTGCACTGTCCCCAAACCCAGCACAACCCAGCTGAGGGGCACGTGAGCTGCCCCCCTTCCTAGTGACTCCTCTCTAGCTGAATCACGAAAGCCCACACAAAACAGAGGGAGCCGATCCACAGCTTTTCCTGGCGCTGCTGCACTGAAATAACGACGAATCTGAGGCGAAGAAGATAAAATGGAGAAAGCGACTGTCATTTCTCGAGTCAGACCTGGAGATCACCCAGGGCAGGAGCTGAGTTACCAGCCACCTGCTGGGTTTGGCTGGCTTGGGCTTTGCAGCAGGTTGTTTTGCTTCCGTTCACTCTCTTTTTCGATGCTGGAGAGGCTAAACAGGGAAGCATCCAGGTGAATCACAAAGATTTTGGTTTTCATTTCAAGCCTGCTCCTGTGCCACAGCTGACAGGGGCAGCTGCCAGCCCCCAAAAGCCAGAGCCATCCGCCGCCGGGTGCTTCCTTACCTGCAGAGCCGAGACAGGCTTGCAAGGACGCTCGGGTCTGGCAGGCGATTGCCAGCCAGCGACAAGACCTCCAGAGATGGAAACGGTACGTGAGCAGAGCTGTGGATGCAAAGAGGCTCATGAGTAACACGCTCAAGCACAGAGAGGTGAAAAACACCCCATTTGCTGTCACCATGGGTAGATGTCTCCGCCAGCAGACGGGACTGGGGCTGTTTTCATTCTTTTCAAAGCCAACTGGTACCCACCTGGAAGCAGCTGGGTTGAATCGGTCCAAACGACCCCCTGGCTCAGCATCTCGTCTCCCAACAACAGCAAACGGTGGATACCTCGGCACGGCAACCGTGGCTAAGCTCTATGTGAAGGGTCTAATAAATGACTGAATAAAAAGCATCCTACTCCCACGGCTCAGCCGCCCGACGGGGCTGCTGACTCACTGTCGAGAGGTTCCTCTCAAGCTGCTGATGCCAGCAGATAACCCTGGGGGATGTGGGGCTGAGCTGGGATAACACTTCCCTGCCACCCAGCACCAACAATTAGGTTATTTGGTCTTCCAGTTTGCAAGGGAAGAGCTCTGCTGATAAACCCCAGGCTGCCCTCCCTCGCCGCTTACCGCTGCCTGGCCAGCCCCATCGCTCCATCACCCTGCCCGGCGCATCCCGCCGGCACGCCGGCAGCTCCCCACCGTGAAGAAGCATAAAGCAAAGGTTTGGATAAAGCGTAAAGAAGCTGCACACCCTTCCTCCCACGAGCCTGCCAGGTCCGGAGGCAGAGACCAAAGTCCCTCAGCCATCAAGCGAAGGACTGAGCTGGGACAAATCTCCCGACGTCCAGATGTCCTGAGGGGGCGAGTTATTGTGGGAGAGATCCAGATCCTGGGAGAAACAGAAGAAGCAATCCCCCAGAGTAAAGAACAATCTCTGTTGGCTTTCCCCAGGTAGATAGTCAATATTTACAGGAGACTTTCAGTCGTGCTGCCACCTGCCCCAGGGCGATGCTGCGAGCACTTGCAGGGACTTCACGTAGGGCGGTGGGACTCTACAGCTTGGCAGGAGTGCTCAGGGCTGGTCCTCCCCCTCACACGTGGGATTCATGGGACAACAGCCAGGAGAAAGCCAAGGAGCAGACCCTGCTGGGAGCGAGGACGAGGTTTTCTAGGATAGGTGAACAGGAATAGCTTTGCTGGGGCATTCCGTTTTCCTGGGAAGAGCTCAAAGCACTTTCCAAATCAATTTAATATCCACGTTCAATCAGCCTTCCCAGGGCTGATTTCTGCAGGCCGTCAGCAAACAAGGTCCTGGCCGCTGGTCACAGACGAAGCTGAGATCCGCGGTGGCGTGGCAGGAAGGAGGGTTTAGGTGGGTCCCGTCCCAACCTTTTGTAGCCGATGCCAGTGACAGGGCTGCTCACACAGAGGCAGACAGGGATGGACAGGACCAACCCCAGCCTCATGAGCCTTGGGAATTTGGTTTCCCATCACCTGGGCGTGTGCCCACTGACTGAGTGAAACCCTTGAGCGGGTTATCAACAGTGCCTGGGAGAAATGTGGGAGATGTTCTCCTACATTTCATGGGTGTGGGGGCCTCCCAAAGCCTGCAGGCAGGAGGCAGGGCAGGGCCTGAGCATACAGAGCTGACAGCGGAGCCGCCAACAGTTCTTTGAACACGACAAGAGGAAAGAAAACTTTTAAGACAAAACTTTATATCCAGAAGCAATCAGAAACCAGAGAAACCCAGGCAAGGACACCTCCTCAAAGAGAGCAAACCTACATAAAGTCAGTACGGCCGAGCCAGAGCCTGAGCTTTCTCTAGCAGAGACCCACCCCAGAGGGAGAGGACAACGAGAGCCATCATACCAGGCACAGTTGCTTGTTCTTAGGATCCACTTTGTCACTTTTTTAAGGAAAAAACCCCAAACTGACTCCTTTGCTGTGTTAGAAAGGCAGCCCGTAAGTTGAGGAAACTGGAGACGCCTCTCTGGAGAGGAGGAGGATGGGATGCAGAGCGGTGGAGCACAGCGCGGAGGAGGCTGGGGCTGTGTCACGGACCACACAGCACCAGGGAGGTGGGGGATGCCCGGGGTGACTGACACGCTGCAGGGAGAGGGTCCTAGAGCCAAAATGGGGTGGCCCACCCCAGGGGAAAACAAGGAGTCCTCTGGCAAGGGGCTGAGCACTGGGGATCTGTGAGGGGTTGCTCTGCAGGAGGAAGCAAGGCGTGAAGGTATTTGAGGGACACAGCAGAAAGGGCTTCCTCAAGTCACAGGGGAGCAGGAGGAGAGAAGGGCCCTGCAGTTTCAGAGAACTCCCGCTGCAGGGACGTACGTCAACGCGACGTGTAGGCTTCGGCACGGCAGTTGGGAGGAGATGACCAAGGTCTCAGAGCCCCCTCGTCTTACTTCCAAACGTAGGAAGTCTCCAGCGGGGATTGTCAGGATTCTTAAGTCCGTTGAAGGAAAGTTCCAGGTCCTGCAGTGCTGGAAACTTCCAAAACAACTCTGCAAGGGTAGAAAAGAAAGTGCTGCAGGGAGGGAAGAACAGCAGTGACAGAAAAGCCATGTCTTATCTAGGTCTGGAACAGACCAAACCCAACAAGAACAACAGAGCTGGTTTCATCAGTGGGCATGTCTGGAAGAAAATGCCAGCTCAGTTAGAGGGTTGTCCGTGCGAAGCGTGATGCCCCACCAGGCTGCTCCCCAGACATCTGCTTTGCTTTCACGCGTTTGCTCACACCCCAAATGGGATTATTGCTTGAAGCCACTGCTGGCACGTTTAGCATATGTATTTTACTAGTTACAAACAGATTTCCTTTTTTTTCTTCTTCAAATTAGCTGAGCCCATGACACTGGATTCACCTCCCAGCTCTCCCGTTAAGCTTCTGAGCCTTTGGGACCAGTCATTTCATTATTCCACACTTCTATACATTAAATTGGGATTTTCTTTGTAAAGAGCTTTGTTTTCTAATAATGCAAAGGATACCACAGTGGCACACAATTACCACTACAGTGAAGGGAATTAGCGCAAGGATTTCGGCTCGGTAACACGAAGGGAGCAATTCTGCAAAGAAGTGCTGCGTCTTAAACCTCTTTGTAAAGCTCTAGACCTTTGTTCAGACAAGCGTAAGCTCCCCCAGGTTGAAAAGCGGCATCTCTTTTCGGTAATGCAGTCCTTCACCTAGTGTCAGCAGGTTCTCAGCAGCATTTGCAAAAGCAACGCAATCAAATTTCACAAAATAGTCTTCTTTAGCCTGAAAAATACAGGAAAAAACCCCATCATTCCACTCCAGCCCTCAACTGAACGGAAACAACTGGATCCTTCCTTTTCTCAGAACGCCTAAATCATAGAATTTCCCATAAGAAGGTCTTTATCTTTGACTATGGAGAGCACCCCTACGTGTTTCATGCACAGCCGCCTCAGTGACCAACACCCAGAAGACCTGGATTAGTTAAGCCCCAAATCAAAGCCCCCTCCTCTGTGCCCTCACGGCTGAGCTGGCTCCCCTACGTGTGTCGCAGGGCTCTGGCGCCATGTCTCGTACCCACGTGTGACCCAGCGAACGCGGCCACCCTATGATATAGCATGTCTGCCCTTCACAGCACCAGCAGGGAACCCCCAAAAGACACTAAATACCTACCGGCACCTCAGCTCGTTTTCTCTTGGCGGTGGAAGTTAGCCACGAACCCAAACAAAAGCCACTTCTCAAGCTGAAATCGAGCTCCTACCATAGGTGAGATAAACATCCCTAAACCCAAGGAACAGCATCTTGCAAGGGGATGTCAGTGGGGAAGGGTCTACAGCCAACGAAGACCAAGTTAATTTGGTTATGAAGACGCAATCCAAGAGTTTGTAGGACAAATCCTTCAAGCCTATTCACCTTCCTGTGCAGGAAATATGCCTGCTTCTAACGTGTGTCTTCTCTGATCTCTGGACACTCATGTGCTAACATGGCAAAGTTTTCAACTTTTAAGGCAGTTCCCTAATACTTCTTGAGTCTCTGATATTCACAGAGGCCAGATTTTGGCTGCTGGTGTTCGCAGAGCACAGGTCAGAGGGGATCTTCAAACGGTGGTGCTTCATCTGGGAAAAAAAAAAAAAAAATTAAAGGAACACCAAGGCTTAGCTCTGCACCACCCGTGTGAGTAATCCTGAATGTCACATCCTGGGACCTGAGCCCCAAAGCCAGACCCCAGGTAAGGGGGGCACCTGGTTCCTCAGATTGCAGCAAGGGGGGAGGACACCTGCACTCACCAAAAATGCCTCGTCTAGGATTTTGTCTTGATTCTTTTCATCCATGGAGGCAGACTCTGGGGGCTTTCTCCTCTGCTGCGGTGTCTTCCCGGTGGCTCCCTTCCCAGTCCAAGCCCTCGGGGTAGCTCTGTGTGCCAGCACCCAGCGCTCACGACAAGGCAGAGGAGATGGCAAGGTGAGCACGCAACCCTCCAGGTGTGCCCTTCTCAAAGTAGCTGCACCCTGCCTGGTGTTCCAGCCCAGCAGTTGAAATCCATCATTTTACAATCCCCTGTGCTGGAGCAGAAGATGTTCAGTGACCATGAATTTAAGATAGGAACGTTAAAGCTGCAGCCAGAGCCACGGAAGAGGAGAAACGTGGTACTTCATAGATGCTAATGGAGCCATAGGTTGCAGACATGTAAACGTGGGCTGGAAGAGCTTTCTGGAGATCTCCAATCCAAGCTCCCACCCAAAGCAGGACCATCAGCACCGTTTGATCAATCAGTCGTGGCTTTGTCTAGCGATTCCACCACCTCCCAGGGTAATCTGGCCCAGAGCTGCACCGCCTTCCCAGCGAAGAAGTTCCTTCTAATGTCCACCCTAAACCTCCCAAGGTGAAATTCTTGGCTTGGTTATACCATCTGCCGCTGTGAAGTGTTTGTAGCTGTCCTTCAGGTGGCCGTAAGCCAAGATCTCCCCTTGGACTTCTCTCGGACAGATAAAAAAAAGAAGCTCAGCACCCTCAACCTCTCCAGCACCCTCAGCCTCCCCTAGAAGGTCCTGTGCTCCAGACCCCTGACCAGCCGAGGAGACCTCTCCACCACTTCTCAAGTGTTAGAAGCCATTTCTAAGCGTTTCACAGATGTGACTCCCAAAGCCCAGAGGAAAAGGAGAAGCTCTGGCTCGGAACAGTGGATGAAGAACCACATTGCCTGCAGCTTCCCTCCTGCCAGCATGTAGAGATGGCTGCTGGAGCCATCACTGAACACGTGCCCCAGACCTCCTGCCCTCTTCATTTTAATGAAGTTTAAAATTATTTTAAGACTTCATGGTGTCACGGGTTGAGGCTGGGCTGGCCACTGACAAATGACA